CTCCTGCTTCCCTGCGCTGTTCGAGGCTGAGCGGAGGCGGCGCTCCGTCATCCTGGGGATGGCCCTGGGCGGAGGTGAGAGTCGGCCGCGCAGCCTCCCGCAAAGGGGCTCTGGAGCCGCTGGGCCAGGGATAGGCTGTGCCTGTGCTCTAGAAGAGCGTGATGCAGAAAGGCTTTCCACAGGGACAGGAGCGTGCGCCTGAGTCAGGACCCTGCTCCATCACTGGCTGGCTGTGCAGCCTCCTCCCTTGGCTCCCAGGGCCAGCTCTGATCTCTGGGGGCCCTTCCCATTGGTGGCAGCCCAGTGGGTCAGGGCAGCGGGGTAGAACTGGGAAGCGGGGAGATTGGCGGGTTCCTGGGGGATCTGCCATGTGGACGAGTTTCTAGCCTGCTCTCTGCTCCTAGGGAAGGGCCCCGCCCTGGACTCGGCGCTGAGCCGCAGGGCCCGTGACGAGCGCTGGAGCCAGTGGTCGCTGCGTGCTGGCATGGAGACACTGTCCGAGGCCCTGCAGGACTTCCTGAGACAGCGTGGGGTGGAAATGCACTGCCATGCCCGGCTGCGGAGCCTGGAGAGAACGGCGGCTCAGTGCTGGCAGGTGGGAGGCAGCAGGGTGCATCCTCTTGCACCCCTTAGGAGTCCCCAGGGCTCTGCTGGGACATGGAGGGGAGGGGAGCTGGGCTCCAAAGGGTTAAACTGAAACTGAGCCTCCACTTCTTGCTGTATTTTCTGGTCAAACACTTCACCGTTGCCCCATTCAGGTGTGAACATGAGTGGTCAGAGCAGGGGGGCTGGGAGCCAGGACTCCTGGGTTCTGTTCCCAGCTCTGGGAAGGGAGTGGGGCTGGTGGTCAGAGCAGGGGGGCTGGGAGCCAGGACTCCTGGGTTCTCTTCCCAGCTCTGGGAAGGGAGTGGGGCTGGTGGTTAGAGCAGGGGGGCTGGGAGCCAGGACTCCTGGGTTCTGTTCCCAGCTCTGGGAAGGGAGTGGGGCTGGTGGTCAGAGCAGGGGGGTTGGGAGCCAGGACTCCTGGCTATCCCAGCTTGGTCACTTGTCTTCCTGCTTGGGTGAGTCACCTCTCTGCTCTGTGGGGCAGGGGTGTAGGCCCAGGCTTGCCAGCAGGTGGGCCGAGGTCTCTGCTCTGATTGTGCCTTTCCCATCTAGATCACCCTGGAGGATGGCAGTGTGAGAGCAGACCATGTGATCAGTGCCATCCCAGCCAGAGGTAGGGGTGGTGCTGTGCTGAGGGGAGCTCCTCTGCTCTGATGGGGATCTGTGCTCGGTGTGGTCCCATGTGGCTGTGGAGTCATCTAGGCACTAGAACGGTGGGGGTCTGAGCCCGTTTGGTGGCTGGGCATGGGAGCCCTCCCCTCTGTGCAGGAGGGTGGGCTAGTGGTGAGAGTGGCGGACTCCTGGGTTTCCTCCCTGGCTGTGGTTTGGAGCAGGCGTTCCGGCTCTGTGCAGGGGGGAGAGGGGTGTGGAGCCCCCAGCTGCTCTGGGCTGAGGCGTCTCTGTTTCCAGCTCTGGCGGTGCTGCTTCCCGGCTGGGCCGAGCCGCTGGCCCAGGAGCTGCGTAGCATCGAGGCCGTGTCGGTGGGTGTGGTGAACCTGCAGTACAACGGTGCCACGCTGCCCATCACGGTGAGATTGGGGCGCCCCCCGCCTGCCACCATAAATCATTGCAGCCCCCAGCATTGGCCCAGCATGCCCCCCATCCGGTCCCTGAGCACCCAGCATTACATGGGGCTGAGTGGGAAGGGAGAACTCCCCACGACTACAGCCCTAGCCTCATATCATGGGGGCTCTACCCCATCCTGGGAGCAGCGGGTGGCTGTGGGGTGGAGGCTGGGGGGAGCTGCCAGCAAGTCGCATGCAGAGCTGGCTCCCAGAGCTGGGGGTGGGGGCAGGGTGTCCACCCGTCTGCCCATCCAGCTACCGTCTTCCAGGGGGAAGTGGGGCAGACCCTGGGGGTTAACAGGTGTTTCCTTGTCTCTGTCCCAGGGGTTCGGGCACCTGGTGCCCTCGTTCGAAGACAGCTCCCTGCTAGGCATTGTCTACGACTCGGTCGCCTTCCCGGAGCAGAATGGCACCCGTGGCCCTTCTGTCCGGCTCACGGTGAGCACACCATCCTGCCCCCTGCTCCCACCAGGGAGGTGTGCTGGTGGCAGAGGGGGCTGGGTGTGGATGTGCACAGGTCCAGCCATGGGCCCTGGCAGCCTGACCCCTGGTCACGGTGCACAGGCACTGATTTTCCCTGGGGGTGCTGAACACCTCCTCCACTCCTTCCCCCAAGGCCCCACCCCTGCCCTGCCCTGCCCTCACTCCTCCCCCAGCGCCTCCTGGCCGCTGCTGAGCTGTTCAGCAGGAGGCGCTGGGAGGGAGGGGGAGGAGCTGATCGGCAGGGCCCGCTGGTGAGTGCTGAGCACCCACTTTTTTTTTTTTTTTTTTTTTTTCCCTTTTCTTTCTGTGGGTGCTCCAGCCCCAGAGTATCCATGACAAGGGGGCTGGTTCCACCACAGCACAGGGCTCCAGCCCCAGAGTATCCATGACAAAGGGGCTGGTTCCACCACAGCACAGGGCAGACAGCTATGGCAGCTGGCCCAGGACCCCCAGCATCCTGCTGGCTCCTCCCATGGGCTGAAGGTTGGCCTGGTCTGGCACCAGCTCAGCCATGTCCTCAGTGTGGGGCAGGGGATCCTGGTTTGGGGCCAGGCCTGGTCCTCTGGGGCCCTGTTTAAAATAGACTTTAAGGTCAGAAGGGACCATTATGATTGTCTAGTCTGACCTCCTGCACAACTCAGACCACAGAATCTCACCCACCCACTCCTGGAACAAACCCCTGACCTATGTCTGAGTTATTGAAGTCCTCAACTTGTGGTTTAGACTTCAAGGTGCAGAGAATCCTTCAGCAAGTGACCCGTGCCCCATGCTGCAGAGGAAGGCGAAAAACTCCCAGGGCCTCTGCCAATCTGCCCTGGAAGAAAATTCCTTCCCGACCCCAAATATGGCGATCGGCTAAACCCTGAGCATGTGGGCAAGACTCACCAGCCAGCATGCAGGAAAGAATTCTCTGTACTAATTCAGATCCCACCTATCTAGTGTCCCATCACAGGCCATTGGGCATATTTACCGCTAATAGTTAAAGATCAATTAATTGCCAAAATCCCATCATACCATCCCCTCCATAAACTTATCAAGCTTAGTCTTGAAACCAGTTTAGGGTAGGGAGGGGGGAGACCCTGGTTTTCTGGAGCCGTTACCCCTCCCCACCCCAGTTCAGAGGAGTCCTGTTGGCCCCCAGCCAAGATCCTGCTCCCCTCCTGAGTGGTTGTTTTGCTGCCTGCAGGTGATGCTGGGAGGTGCGTGGTTCGAACAGGGCTTTGGGGACCCAGACACTGTGCCACTGGCTGTGCTGCTGAGCCGTGCCAAGGAGGCAGTGAGGGCACACCTGGGCATTGTGGCCGAGCCCTCTCGCACAATCGTCAAGGTGCTCAAGGTAGGTGGGGTGGGGGTGGGCAGCACTGGGAACCATACAGACCAAACCAGCCCTCACCCTGTCTCTGGTCCTTCCACAGGCCTGCATCCCCCAGTACACGCTCGGCCACTGGCAGAGGACAGGTAAGGCTGGCAGAGCCCTTGGTGCCCTCTCACATCTATGGCATCAGGCTGCCCCTCGCTTGTTCTCCCCTCTGCAGTATCATAGAATCATAAAATATCAGGGTTGGAAGGCACCTCAGGAGGTCATCGAGTCCAGCTCCCTGCTCAAAGCAGGACCAATCCCCAGACAGATTTTTGCCCCAGATCCCTAAATGGCCCCCTCAATGATTGAACTCACAACCCTGGGTTTAGCAGGCCAATGCTCAAACCACTGAGCTATTCCCCCCCAAGTCAAGCCTCGGGGTGGGGTCCTGGGCTGGGCAATGGGGCACAGGTGGGATTTATCAGCACAGCCAGGGGAGCACAGCTCCAGCCCATGTGCTGGAAGTGGTAGAGACCCCTCTAGCCTTACTCCCTCTGTCCCCCTGACAGAGACCATCAGCCGTTACCTGGAGCAGGAAAGATTGCCGCTGAGCCTGATCGGGGCCTCCTACCAGGGTGTCTCTGTGAACGACTGTATCTACAGTGCCAAGACGGCAGTCACCCGGCTCCTGGACCAGGCCTGCTGATCTGCCACCGGGCGCCCGCCTCTTGAACTAACACTGCTTCGAGCAGAGAACAGTGGAGCCCCCGGCCAGGCAATGGGCTCTCACCGTGTGAGGAGAGGCTGCCTCCTCTGAGAGCACTGGGAGCTGGATTCCTGCCCGAGGTGGGTGGGGTTGGGGGTGTCCTGCTGGGGCCCCCCTTGCGATAAAGGGACATCCCCAGAAGCAGTCAGAGAATGTGAGTGTGGAGGCTGGGGCGCTCTCAGCAGCTGTAGGCTGCAGCCTGGGTTCTTCCCAGCAGTGGTCAGGTACCAGCCCAAGGGAGGGGCTGGGCTGGCTTGTCTCACCTAGACACCCCCCCCTCCCCCAACCAGCCCTTGGCCAAGCCCCTCCCTGGCTGGTGTGGTTTTGCTGCCTTTGTGGAGCTCACTGTGTGTGGGAGAGGGGATTGGCTGTGACCCCTGCAGCTCCCTGGAGCAGCCCTGCACAACCTCAGGCTCTGTCATTGACTAATAAACCCCCCAAGGCTGGGTTAGCGTGGCTCTGTGCTGACTGATTTTCCCCTCACTACAGCATGCTGGGATGGGGGCAGGCAGGGAGCTGGCACCAAGGCAGGCCAGTGCCAAGGAGCACAGCACCTGGCACTGAGCTGGTGCTGTGGCAGTGGGTGGACACTGCTAGGTACAGAACAGCTCAGGAGAAGCAGCAGCACCCAGGTGAGGTGCCTATGGCAGGCAGCCAGTTTCTAGAGGCTCTGTCTGGGCCAAGGGAGCTGAGTGGAGGAAGTCCAGCCCCAGTTCCCAGGCCTGTGATATCCCCTCCCCCGGAGGTTGGGGTGATGCACAGGGATGAGCTCTAGGGGCACTGTAGAACCAAACATTTTATTCAGCTTCTGTGTGGTGCAGCAGCTGCCAGGCACGGCGAGCACGTTCCTAAATAAATAACCACAGCAAATTGTCAACAGCTAGAGGAGGATCAACCCCTGGGCTCCCCCCAAACCACCACGGGGATGGGGGCTAGACACAGCCCCCTAGGTCACAAACTGTTCTGGGGTGAGGGGATGGGAGCAGCCTGGCTCACTCTAAGCACAGTCTACTCAGCACCCATCCCTTAAAGTGAATTCAGTGCTGGGGAAGTTGCTGCCTGGAGGCCTTTTAGCAGGTATAAGCTGAGCCTGCAGCAGCAGCTGGCACCCTGGCTGTGCCTGGAGGTGCCCTGGGCTTATGGGCCCTTGGGCAGCTGCCACTGGGGCTAGGGCTGGCCAGGCACCAGTGCCACTAATGCCCAGAACATGGGGGAGTGGAAAGGCTCCAGCTGGAATCCCAGTGAGGGGGCTCCTCTCCCTGCTGCTCCAGGCAGCAGGCCTAGCCCAGGCCACTTGCCCAGCTGCTCCCCTGGAGGCTCCTGCGCAGCAGGGTGGGGGGAGGCTGGGCTCCCAGCATTTGCCTCTTGCTTTAAGGGGGCAGGGAGGTGAGGCTGGGATTCTGCCCTACCCCTGATGTGGCTGCTGTAGCCCCAGCAGGCTGTGTGCGCCCAGGGCACAGCTAGATACAATGGAGGCTGCCGGTGCTGAATGCCCTGGCAGCTGCACCAGGGACTGGGGGAAGGACATGGCCAAAAGCCCAGGCTAGCGGCTCCCCAGCTCGAGAGCAGCCACAGACAGGGCCAGGGGAGTCAGGCACAAGGTGAGTACTAGCCCCCAGGAAAGGAGGGAGCCAAGTCCCCCTGTCCCCCTCCCCCCATGGGAGAACAGCTCCCTGGCACAGTGCTGCCCACCTCCAGCAGTGTTTCCCCGCAGGGCACAGGGCCCCCTCCCACCTGCAGAGGATTAACACAGCAACAGACCAGTGTAGTATGTAAATCCAGCACCAAAGGGATAACAGCTCCAGGGTGAAGGGGCAGAGTTGAGCCCAGCCTCCCCCCACCCAAATCCCAGTGCCCCACTCAGCAGCCTGGCCAGGGCACACTGCAACACCCAGGGGTGGCAGCAGCCAATTCCAGGACAAAGGGCCTGCCAGCAGCTGCACACAATGCCCGAGACACACACAGCAGTGGGTGCTATGAGCAGCCTGGGGCCCCACTGCAGTTCACAATTGGCCCAGGCACACTGATCAGGTGTGGGGGCTTTCTCCAGTACAATACAGGAAGTCCGAGGCCCCCAGTTGCAGGGCACCGCAGGGACTAGGCCCCCCTCCCTGCCAGCATGGGTCAGGCTGGGGGAGGGAAGGGGGTGCTAGATTGGGGGGAAAACATGAGCTTGCCCTATCTACAGCACAGGGATTTTGGCTCAGCTTGTCCTCAGGAGCCCAGCAGGATGGGAGGGGTTGAGGCTCAAGGACTCTCAGCTCCCCTGAGGTCACAGCCCCAACGGGGGGAAGGGGTCTTGGGCAGGGCACCTGGGCTCAGGAAGAGCCTACTACAGCTAACACTTGGCTTGAACACCCAACAGCACCAGGATTCTAGGGGGCACTACTGCTCAGCTCTGCCCCAGCTCATGCCCATGGCACCGGAGCACCTGCTTCTCCCCTGCAGCACGCCAGGACTGACTGCAGCTGTTGCCCCTGCAGGACCTAGCCAGGGACCTACTGTAACCACACCCATGGGTTAGGGCCCCATCATGAAGATGCAGCAGATACCAGCAAAACCAGTCTCATTCCTGGGGGCTTAGCTTCCTTGCTGGAAACTACCCCCTGCCTCCTGTGCTACTAGGCTCTGCCCTGATCTACTGCCCCAGCAGGATGGTTTCCTGGACCAACACAGCCAGCAGTGGGCCAACCTTCTCTGCCTTACAGCCCAGCTTGGGGGACTCCAAGCCACAGCCTGTGCTGAGGCTGCAGACAAAGGTGCCAACTGTGGGGGCAAGCTGGCTGATGGGTCCTGTCCCACTGTGAACAGGCCCAAGACCTATCAGCTCACACAGGGTCCACCCTGCAGACTTGTCCACTCCTGGCCTGGGCAGGAGCCCCTGGGTGCCAGGCCTCACAACCAAGCCTGGCACTTGGGAGCAGCACAGGGCCAGGGCCTCCAGTCCAACGTGACCCGTGGGGTTTGTTCTAGGAGCTGGGAAGGGCTCAGCTCACACAGCGAGTCTCTGGCTGCCCCCACCCCATTCCTGATGTCCAGGGCCCTCTCTGGTTAGCGGGTGCTCGGCGGGAAGGTCTGATTGTCCCACTGTGTCTGGGCGGGCTGCCCTTGTGCCAGGGCCTGTGGGGCACTGCCCCCTGCATTCTCAGCCCCACCCAAATCCATTGCCCCAGACTCAGGCTTCCCCTTGCTAGAGGTCTCCTGGCTGTGCTGCAATGCGTCAGGGCTCCGTGGAGGGATGCCGGCACTCGGCTGGGTGCCCTGAGCAGCTCCACGCTGAGGCCCAGAGCTGTCCACAGCTCCCCCCTGGGCCTTCCTCTGGGTGCTGTCCCATGCAGCCCCTTCCCTGCCCCCCAGCTGGCCTGCGGCGGCTCCAGGCCCCTCGCTCTGTGTCCCGGGGGCTGTGGGCGCTCCCCGGCCAGCATCCTGTCCAGACCTCTGGGGCAGGGGTGGGGGCTGCTTCCCCCAGTTTGCTGTGGCCCAGGGTAGCTTGGCAGGATGTGTTTTGCGCAGCATCTCCTGCCTGAACTCATGGTTGGTCCCAGTCTTGTACTTCTGCCCTCCGAAGCCGGGCACAGACCCCTTCCTGCCCTTCAGCGCCCGGGGGTCGGTCCCAATGTCAGCGGTGATGTTGGTGTACAGGGGATGCAGCTCCTTGGCCAGCAGCGTGTAGGTGAGCGAGTTCATGCCGTCCTGTGTCCACATCCTCTGCGTCCGGATCAGCAGATCAAACCTGCAGGGTGTGGAGGAGAGTCAGCGCCAGGGCTCTGCCCAGCCCAGCCCCTGCCCTCTGGGAGCCTCCTCGCCGGCCTAGCCAGCGTGAACTCCCCGCCTTGCCAAGGAGCGGCGCAGGGCGGGGCCCCAGCACACTCACCGGTGCGGGTTCTCCTCATTGCCCTGGTCGCCTTTGTGCTTCACCATCTTGTAGTGGCCGACCGATATGGGAGGGCGCGAGATCTTCATGCCAGCCAGACGTACCCTGGAGACACAGGAACAGATGTGTCAGTGCGGCAGCGCAGGGGCTGCAGGATCCGCCCCCACTCGCTGCCACAGCATGTGACGGGGGAGAGTTGCCATGGCGACGGTGCAGCGGGCTGCAGGGCTCTGGGTTAGATCAGCTCCCCGGACAGCAGAGGGAGCTGTGTTCCGGCGGGTACAGCACCGGCCAGGAGTCACCCATTCTCTCCCATTGGCAGCCAGGAGCCAGCGGCAGCAGTGCAGGCAGCAGGGCCATGGAACAGCAGGGCCAGGTCAGCCTCAGCAGAGCACAGTCCCCAGGGACCATGGCGACGGGCAGGGGGCTCCGGGCAGTCACTTCGTCCTCACCCCACCAGCTCTGCTACAGCTCCCGACCCGCCTCCTTCCCGCTGCGCTGGACCTACCTGAGCATGGCTGGCAATGGCACTGGGAGAAATGAGCATGCAAAGAGTCCCGAGAGCCAGGAGTGGAGAGAAGAGAGAGATGGTGAGAGGAGCCAGGACCACGGGGAGGGGGGCACGCCAGGGCCAATGAGACATGACCACAGTGGGGGGGGGGGGGTGACGTGATGACAAGAGCCAAGGAGAGACAGCCACAGACCATGGTAGGGAGGGAGAGGGGGGCAGCACACCAGGGCCAATGAGACAGTTACAGACCATGGGGGGCAAGGGGGGCACCAGGGCAATGAGAGACAGCCATGGACCACAGTGGGGCTGACAATGAGACCCAGAGTGCGGGAAGCGGGGGCAGAGCCAGAGGAACACTACACACTCAGCCTCTGCGGGAGCCCAGCTTGTGAAAGGGACCCCAGAGGGATCCGCTGCCTGAGTGCTGTCACCGGGCTCAGCCAGAGACTGGGGGGCGACAGCTAGAACAGAGCGCCCGCCTAGGTCCCCGAGCGAGCTCCTCACCAGCCCGGCCTGCCGGCCCACGAACACCTTGCAGCCTGCTCTCCCAGCCCTGGCAGTACACAGGCCCTGCCTGATAGCTGGGCCCAGCACGCTGCCCAGGGCCAAGGGAGATGCCTCTCACCCTGGGGAGCAGATCCTCAGGGAGACAGCGACTGGGGGCTGCACCCCAAGGCCAGGGGAGCAAGAGGCAGGATGGGCCGAGCAGAGGCCCACCTTGGCATGCCCCACTGAGCCAATAGGGAGGGGCGCAATCACACTCCTCCCTCCTGCACAGGGGACCCATGTGACCGATCCCAAAGGACAGTGTGTGTCACCAGCACCAGGCTGCTGACGCCAGACAGGCAGTGCCTGATGCCCATCCCCTGGCCAGTTACTCACCCCACAGCTTGTTAGTGCCCCCCAGAGACAGGAGCTGCACTAGCAGGGGGTGTGGGCCAAGTCCTGCTCCCTCTGACCCTATGGCTTGGCACAGAGCCGCCGGGATTCCCTGGCCCCCAATGCTCCTTCTCTTGTCGGCAGGGTCCCCGTGTGGCCAGCCATGCGTGCGCTGGGCCTGTGTCTGGGCAGGGGAGGAAGAGCAGCGGGGTGGGGACGGATCTGCTAGTTACACAGCCAGCACAGCGGGAGGGGGTGAGAAGCAGGGTGCAGGCGCAGGGCAGGCGCTGGAGGCGACTCTCACCTGGTGGCAATGTCGTCGTCCTCCCCACCCCAGCCCCAGTACTCATTGGGGAAGCCGTTCATTTTCAGATACTGATTTGGGGTGAGCGCCGACACGCCGCCGAAGTACTGGGCATACGGGAGGCTGGAGGAGAGAAGAGGAGAGTGACTGATGGCTTGAGGAGGGATCCTGGCTCAGAGGCTACCTGCAGCAGCCAGGCCCTGGGTGCTGTGATTCCCTTGGGAAACCACCTCAGAGCTCAGTCCCTGCTCTGGGCAGGCTTGCTGGTGTTTGGATACCGGGCAGCGAGGGCGTGTAGCTGCAATGATAAACCATGGTCCCAACTGGCACAGCTGGTATTAACTGACAGATGCAACCAGGTGTGGACCAGTAGAGGGCTGCAGGGGCAGGACTCAGGGGCCCGGCCAGGGCAGCCCAGGAGGAGACCAGCAGGGGGCCGCGGGGGCAGGACTCAGGAGCACCGGCCAGGGCAGCCCAGGAGTGGAACAGCAGGGGGCCGCGGGGGCAGGACTACTACGGAGAAGGATTTGGAAGAGCCCTCTGAGGGAAGGGATCAGAAGAAGACCCCAACGGCCAGAAGGCATGGGATGCATTGTCCTAGGGATGGGGGTTCCATGACCACCACTCCAAGAGGAGGAGATGGGTGGTGATGGTTGGGGACTCCCTCCTAAGGGGGATGGAGTCATCCATCTGCTGACCAGAACGGGAGCCTCGAGAAGTGTGCTGCTTGCCTGGAGCTAGAATCCAGGATGTGACGGAGTGTTTGCTGAGACTGATCAAGATCTTGGACCGCTACCCCTTCCTACTTCTCCACGTGGGCACCAATGATACTGCCAAGAATGACCTTCAGTGGGTCACTGCAGACTACAGGGCTCTGGGAAAAAGGATAAAGGAGTTTGAGGCGCAAGTCGTGTTCTCGTCCATCCTCCCTGTCAAAGAAAAAGGCCCAGGTAGGGACATTCGTATTGTGGAGGTGAATGCATGGTTACGCAGGTGGTGTCGGAGAGAGGGCTTTGGATTCTTTGACCATGGGATGTTGTTCTGGGAAGAAGGATTGCTAGGAAGAGATGGGATCCACCTAACGAAGAGAGGGAAGAGCATCTTCGCAGGCAGGCTTGCTAACCTAGTGAGGAGGGCTTTAAACTAGGTTCGCCGGGGGTTGGTGACCTAAGCCCAGAGGTAAGTGGGGGAGTTGGATACCAGGAGGAAACACAAGGAGGAGGGTACAAGACGGGAAGCCGCCTGATTCATACTGAGAAAGTAGGGCAATTGACTAGTTATCTTAGGTGCATGTACACGAATGCAAGAAGCCTGGGAAACAAGCAGGAAGAATTGGAAGTCCTGGCACAATCAAGGAACTATGATGTGATTGGAGTAACAGAAACTTGGTGGGGCAGTTCACATGACTGTCATGGATGTGTATTAACTGTTCAGGAAGGACAGTATGGGAGGAAATGTGGAGGAGTTGCACTGTATGTAAGAGAGCGGTATGATTGCTCAGAGCTCCAGTATGAAACTGGAGAAAAGCCTGTTGAGAGTCTTTGGGTTAAGTTTAGAGGCGAGAGCAACCAGGCTGATGTCGTGGTGGGCGTGTGCTATAGACCGCCGGATCAGAAGGATGAGGTAGACGAGGCTTTCTTCGGACAACTAACTGAAGTTTCCAGATCACAGGCCCTGGTTCTAATGGGGGACTTCAGTCATCCTGACATCTCCTGGGAGAGCAATACAGCTGTGCACAGACAATCCAGGAAGTTTTTGGAGAGTGTTGGGGACAACTTCCTGGTGCAAGTGCTGGAGGAACCAATTAGGGGACGTGCTCCTCTCAACCTGCTGCTTACAAACAGGGAAGAATTGGTAGGGGAAGTAGAAATAGGTGGCAACCTGGGCAACAGTGACCATGAGATGGTTGAGTTCAGAATCCTGACAAAAGGAAGAAAGGAGAGAAGCAAAATATGGACCCTGGACTTCAGAAAAGCAGACTTAAACTCCCTTAGGGAACTGATGGGCAGGATCCCCAGGAAGGCTAATCTGAGGGGGAAAGGAGTCCAGGAGGGCTGGCTGTATTTTAAAGAAGCCTTATTGAGGGCACAGGAACAAACCATCCCGATGTGCAGAAAGAATCGCAAATATGGCAGGCGACCAACTTGGCTCAACAGTGAAATCTTCGGTGAGCTTAAACTCAAAAAGGAAGCTTACAAGAAGTGGAAATTTGGGCAGATGACTAGGGAGGAGTATAAAAATATTGCTAGAGCATGCAGGGGTATAATCAGGAAGGCAAAGCACAATTGCAGCTAACAAGGGATGTGAAGGGTAACAAGAAGGGTTTCTACAGGTATGTTAGCAACAAGGTGGTCAGGGAAAGTCTGGGACCCTTACTGAATGGGGGAGGCAACATAGTGACAGATGATGTGGAAAAAGCTGAAGTACTGAATGTTTTTTTTTTTTGCCTTGGACTTCACAGACAAGGTCAGCTCCCAGACTGCTGCACTGGGCAACACAGTATGGGGAGGAGGTGAGCAGCCCTCAGTGGTGAAAGAACAGGTTAAGGACTATTTAGAAAAGCTGGACATGCACAAGTCCACGGGTCCGGATCTAATGCATCCGAGGGTGCTGAGGGAGTTGGCTGATGTGATTGCAGAGACATTGGCCATTATATCTGAAAATTCGTGGCAATTGCGGGAGATCCCGGATGATTGGAAAAAGGCAAATATAGTGCCCATCTTTAAAAAGGGAAGAAAGAGAACCCGGGGAACTACAGCCTCACTTCAGTCCCCGGCAAAATCATGGAGCAGGTCCTCAAGGAATCCATTTTGAAGTACTTGGAGGAGAGGAAGGTTATCAGGAACAGTCAACATGGATTCACCAAGGGCAAGTCGTGCCTGACCAACCTTATTGTCTTCTATGATGAGATAACTGGCTCTGTGGATATGGGGAAAGTGGTGGACATGATATATCTTGACTTTAGCAAAGCTTTTGATATGTTCTCCCACAGTATTCTTGCCAGCAAGTTAAAGAAGTATGGATTGAATGGACTATAAGGTGGATAGAAAGCTGTCTAGATTGTCGGATTCAACGGGTAGTGATCAACGGCTCGATGTCTAGTTGGCAGCTGGTATCAAACGGAGTGCCCCGGGGTCAGTCCTGCGGCTGGTTTTGTTCAACATCTTTATTAATGATCTGGAGGATGGGATGAATTGCACCCTCAACAAGTTTGCAGATGACACTAAGCTGGGGGGAGAGGTAGATATGCTGGAGGGTAGGGATAGGATCCAGAGTGACCTAGACAAACTGGAGGATTGGGCTAAAAGGAATCTGATGAGGTTCAACAAGGACAAGTGCAGAGTCCTGCACTTAGGACGGAAGAATCCCTTGCATTGCTACAGGCTGGGGACTGAATGGCTATGCAGCAGTTCTGCAGAAAAGGACCTGGGGATTACAGCAGACAAGAAGCTGGATGTGAGTCGGCAGTGTGGCCTTGTTGCCAAGAAGGCCAACAGCATATTGGGCTATATTAGTAGGAGCATTGCCAGCAGATCAAAGGAAGTGATTATTCCCCTCTATTCGGTACTGGTGAGGCCACACCTGGAGTATTGTGTCCAGTTTTGGTCCCCCCACTAGAGAAAGGATGTGGACAAATTGGAGAGAGTCCAGCGGAGGGCAACGAAAATAATTAGGGGGCTGGGACACGTGACTTATGAGGACAGGCTGAGGGAACTGGGGTTATTTAATCTGCAGAAGAGAAGAGTGAGGGGGGATTTGATAGCAGCCTTCAACTACCTGAAAGGGGGTTCCAAAGAGGATGGAGCTCGGCTGTTCTCGGTGGTGGCAGATGACAGAACAAGAAACAATGGTCTCAAGTTGCAGTGGGGGAGGTCTAGTTTGGATATTAGGAAACACTATTTCTCTAGGAGGGTGGTGAAGCACTGGAATGGGTTACCTAGGGAGGTGGTGGAATCTCCATCCTTAGAGGTTTTTAAGGCCTGGCTTGACAAAGCCCTGGCTGAAATGATTTAGTTGGGGTTGGTCCTGCCTTGAGCAGGGGATTGGACTAGATGTCCTCCTGAGGTCTCTTCCAACCCTAATATTCTATGATTCTATGACTCAGGAGCAGGGCAAGGGGACCCAGGAATGGAACAGCAGGGGCAGAACTGAGGAGCGCCTGCCCCATGCTGAGCCGTGACCGCTGTTTTCAGTAAGATTCACACAGATTCTGTTCCATGGCGCCCAGTGACGAGCAGACAACTGCGGTGACAGGAGGCCATGTGGGAGAATGGCATGTGGCATCTCACCTGTAGCCGAACTTGTTCATGGCGATGGAGACGTGCTTGGGGCTCCAGGGGTCGCAGGTGTACAGGTTGTGGTCGTTCTCGGGGATGAGGTCGACATCGTGCAGGAAGAGGCAGTCCCACTCCTCATCCCTCAGAGCCTCCTTCACTCCCACGTTCAGCAGCTTGGCCCGGTTGAAGGTGGAGTTTCCAGCCTGCAGCGGGGCAGCGCAAGGAGCTCAGACAGGCCAGGACAGACAGGAGCCCAGTCAGGTCATTGAGGCCCCAACTCCACCCTGGGCCAGTGGGGATCTCCAGTACAGCGCCCCCTGCCTGGTGGCGGCGAGCGCAGACCCACCTGGTGGATGACATAGATGCCGTACTGCAGCTGCTGGCGCTGCAGGAAGGGGTGCAGGTAGTAGAGCAGGTGGCGCAGGTGTGTCTCCCGGTTGCGGTGGGGGATGATCACGGCCGTACGGGAGCGGGGCTCGCAGGTCACGGGCCGGTATCTGCCTCCTTCCCTCACCACCGGGTTCTTCTCCACGACCTGCTTCAGCGTCGGCACCTGACTGAAGCTCACTGTCAGGGGGCCAACTGCAGGGGAAAGAGCACTGCTGGCACCAGGAGCAGAGACACACCCACAGCCCATCACACTGGCCATGGGCCCACAGCCCCAGAGCCCACCCAGCTGAGGCCACCACACCCCAGCCCCAGTGCCCAGCCACCCCCACCCCCACCGCCTGGCCACACACCCAGCGAGGCATCAGCACCAGCATCCCCATCCATACACACTACACGGCCCCTCTGTGCTGGTGTCCCTGTCTCGCCCCCAGCCAGCCTTGGCCACTCGGACCCCTCAGCTCTCACGGCTGCCGCCCCGAACGTTTCCTCCCCACTCGGCCATTGCTAAGGCAGCCCGCACATGCTCTCAAGGACAGGCACAGGCGTGGAGAGTCGCCCAGCCAGCTGCCCAAGCCGACCCTGTCAGTCCGGCTCAGGCAGACGGGTGAAGCCCGAGGGAGCCTGGCACCACATGGGGGCGGAACAAGGCGCTGGAGAGTGAGCGGCTGCCGTGAGCCCAGTTGTCCTTTAGGTTCATCCTTCACTGGACAGCCAGCCATAGGCCTGAACAGCCAGCTCTGCCCCTCCAGGGCGGCCTGCGCTCCGGCCAGGGCATCCGGGGTGCAGCTAAGCTCCATGATGGCTCCCTCCAACAGCAGCTGTGCGGGGACAGGAGTCCGCGATTTCTCCAGCCCTTGCCTCTCTGTGCCCTGAGTCAGCGCTGCAGGGGGGTCGTTCACACCAAGGGGAGCCCGGTCTGGGTCATTCGGAGCCGCAGGCGGGGCTGAGAGCAGGGGACTGCAGAGGATTCAGAGTCCCTCCCGCTCCCACGGACCCAAAGCTCCATGCAGCCACCTCTGGGGAGGAGACCAGTGTCTGGGCGGGGCAGGGCAGGGCACCACACAGAGGGGAACTGCGCTAACCCAAGGACCCCAGCACAACCGTGTGGCGCCATGCAGGACAGACAGGCCTGCAGTTACAGCTCGTTCAGGAGACAAGTGCTCACCACGCTGGGCTCCATCGGCCCTCACAAAGAGGACGGGCATAGCTGTCCCTGCTGGGCAGGGCAATGGAGGGGTCTCAAGGCTGGAGCTCCCACCCCGTCCGGAGCCCATCTTTAAGCACAGCCTCCCCATGGCCTGGCAGCTCTTAGCTCAGTTCCGCGGCTGAACTCACATCACCCAGGAGGCCCCACTCCTGCCCCAACAAGGTATCGTCAGGTGAGACAGACAGCAGGACAAGCAGCCTGGGCCTCCATCTGCTCCCTGCAGAGGAGCCGGCTCCCCGCTGGCAGCGTCGTTTGGTTCTCAGAGCAGGGGGTAGGACTGGAACGCAGGCCTGGGCCTCTCCCACTAGGTGCCCTGCTCCCTGGATGGGTTTGATGCACTGCATCCCTGAACAGATCCCCGCTGACAGGCAGCCCCCTGCCCGAGCCTGCTTCCCCATTCGGGGTCTGTCCCAGGTTGCTGTTATGGGTGCTTGGGCGTGTCTAGGTGAGTACACGCCAGCTGCACAGCCGGACATCCCATTTCAGAGCAGTGCAGGGCCTCCCGGCAGCACAGCAGTCTCATTAGCCCAGCACCGCTGCTGCTCCCGCAGCGAGCTCGGCAGGGCATCGCGTGGCGTTGGAACTGGGCTCACAGCAAGTGCAGGCTACACGGCAGCTGCCCCTCAGGGCCACCAGCCCCTTGTCTCCCTCAGCGCTGCTGGCAGTGGGAGCTGGAGCCCCACTGGGGCAGAGGAGTGTTCTAGTCTTTTCACCACTCGGAGGTGTAGGCAGTGGGTTGGTCTGAGCTCTCTTGGGCACTAGCCTGAAGGTGCCCCCGGGTTTAAGCCCAGGGGGAGCATCTGAGGCAGGAATGGCTCCGCATCTGATGCAGCAAGCTCCAGAGACTTCTTGCTCCTCCAAACACAGGCCGTGTCCTGGCAAGTGGTGGATCCCAGCCTGTAGCGAGTCCCACACTGCCTGCGAGCTGAATACTGGGTGTGCAGAAATGGGCAGGCTGATCGACCTACCCAGGATGCAATGGGTACAGAATCGCCACCCGTCAATGGCCAAGTTCTGCTCCATCCCTAGGTTTTTAGAGCACCCACATCACCATTCGGAGGGGGCAACGCTGCCTGGGTTATCCCCACCGGGCAACATCACAGCCACACACGAGCTTTTACAACAGAAAATTGTAGTCGAATAAAAGTTAAGGCAAAACAATCTCAAGTGAGCTGGTGCGTGCCAGCAGGCTCAGGCTGGCCCGTGCTTCCTTCCCCTGGGACTGGCGCAAGGTTCCCTCCCTGACCTACCTCTGATGGGAGACAGTCAAGGACTCCAAAGCTCTCTCCAAGTGCTCTGAGACAGCCGGAGACAGGAGCCGATTGCCCCGGCAGCTCTGTGGAGCATGGGGGTCACACTGTTGGGGGCGCCAGAGGCAAACCTCAACCACATGAGCAAGAGGGCGTCTCTGCTGCCCTTCCCAGACCCTCGGCCCACAGCAAGACGGAGCTCTGAGACATGGCAGAAGCAGTCCCCTGGAGGGCAGGCGCCTTGTCTAACAAGTAACCAATAAGCCTTCTGGAGACATGACACAGGCCATTCCCCCTGCCCGGCCCTGTCCTGCCCTACAAGGGTCTCCCCACCTCCCCCCGCCTTGCCTCTAGGGTGCTCGCTCCCCACCATAGCTTGGCCTGCACCCATCGATGGGGGAGGGGAAATACCCTGCTCGTTATTATTCCTGTTGGAAAACCACAGACTTGACTGAAAGCCAGTTTGGCTCGTGTATGACAAATGATGCTACAGAAAGGCTGAGTGAACCCCACTCCACCGGCCCTCAAGGCTCCCTGTCTGCGCCCCACTGATCCCCCCGCTTCCCCTTCAGGGCTCCACGCCTGCACCCCACCGATCCCCTGCCTCTCCTGCAGGGCTTCCCACTGGTGCCCCACCCATCTCCCACAGGACTCCTTGCCTGTGGCCCCCTGATCCTCTACCACCCTGCAGGGCTCCCACTCTGGCCCCACGCCCAGTGCACAACTTACTGAGGTAGGGCGAGCGCTCGGGGCAGTAGGGCAGGGACCCCGTGGGGCTGCCGCCTGGAGGAGGCCGGGGCAGGAGGTGACTCAGGTTGGTGTACACATCCCGAGTGCGGGAGTAGTCGAAGACGGGGTTCGAATCACGCCCGAAGATGGAGGTCAGGTTCCGGAAGCCGCCGAAGGAGAAGTACACCATGAAGGCAAACTGGAAGCCAATGAGCAGGGCCAAGGTGCAGGGCCTGTCCAGGAGTCTCCGGATCATGATGCCAGGAGAGAGCTCTCCTCCCCCACAAGCAGTGCCAGGTGGTGTGTGTAGCTGGTGCTGTTGAGACACAGACATCCACACATTAACTGGGTGAGGTGCCCCTTTCAGCTGCCCTGGGCAGCAGCATGCAGCCCCCCAACTCCTCCTGGGAAGAGCACAGCCAGCCTCACCCCCCACACAGGGTGCGAGTCTCTACTGGAGACACTCCCTTCAGCGCCGGGGCCTCACCTCCTCCACCCAGCAGAGCTGGCTGGCCGCAGGGAACAGGCTGGCAAAGAATTATAAGGACTCTGGTTTAGCTGGAGAAATCAGCTTGTGTCGTGAACATGCCCAAGTCCTCCCGCTCCCGTGCAGTGGGTGGGCAGTACAACCTGCTCCCTTCCCAGCCCAGGAGCAAGCTGGCAAATGCCATTAAGTGAAGAATTACAGGTCCTGGTGGAGAGTCGATCTCCCACCAAAGCGCTCTGCGAACTCCCGCTGGCATTGGGATAGCGCCTTTCAGCCTGAGGGATACCCAAAATCTGCTCCTCACCCCCACTCCCAAGGAGATGCAGCCACCTCTGGGGTGAAGAGCAGCAGAAGTTTAGAGGAGGGAGTGAAGCATCCTGTGTCCACTCAGAGCTGCAGGGAGAGTGGAGGGAATTTCAACAGAAATGCCTGCATCTGGGTCTGGCCAGGGACAGACTAGTGAGAAGTGCCACCGGATTAGCAAAGGCCCTTGGGGCCCCTGCAGCTGTGTCCTCTAGCACCAGGCTGGGGCACAGAATCAGTCACTCCCACCTCAGTGGAGCAGCGTCACGGCTTGCAAGGAACAGCTCTGCGTTGGCAGGAGACAGACTGGCTGATCCATCCCTGTCCTCACGGGAACTGCACCCCCTCCATTCCCCTCCCCTGTCTGCACCATGGCATCTTCCTTCCCCGGGTCTGTACTAACATCTACTGCCCTGCAGCACGGCACAGATGACACTGCCTTGGCTCCACCTCTGCTCACATCCTCCAGGCCTTTCTCCGCCCTGTGACTCTGCGCTGGGACCATGTCCTGGCTCCAGCTCCTGCCTGCTTTGCCAGTATTTAGAGGGAACGGCCCCATCTCCCCAGACTCACACACTTCCACCTGTTCCTTATTCTACTCAGAACCCCCTCCAGTCACCTTCCTTGTCAGCACCCCAAGGGGCTGGGATCAGCCAGCCCCACTGCCCTCCCCGCCCGGCTCTGCTCATCTAGCGCCACTCGTCTGCCCCGTCAATGTCTCAGGGCTCTGGGCACAAGAGCCTTCTCTGGGACTCCTCCTGTCTACCCCACCCCAGCTCTAAGCAGAGCATTCACACCCACACCCAAGTCTGGCCTTCTCCACTGCAGTCAGAAGTGGCCCCTGCTGAGCCCCTGGAGGAGCCGCAGATTCCAAGGCCAGAAGGGATTAGTGCCATCATAGAATCACAAGTATCAGGGGGTAGCCGTGTTAGTCTCGTCCCCTAGTGCCTCTCCTCTACTTGCGCTACATTGATGACATCTTCATCATATGGACCCACGGAAAGGAGGCCCTTGAAGAATTCCACCTGGACTTCAACAATTTCCACCCCACCATCAACCTCAGCCTGGACCAGTCCACACAAGAGATCCACTTCCTGGACACTACAGTGCAAATAAGTGATGGTCACATAAACACCACCCTATACCGGAAACCTACTGACCGCTATACGTACCTACATGCCTCCAGCTTCCATCCAAGACACATCACACGATCCACTGTCTACAGCCAAGCCCTAAGATACAACCGAATTTGCTCCAACCCCTCAGACAGAGACAAACACCTATAAGATCTTTATCAAGCATTCGTAAAACTACAATACCCACCTGGGGAAGTGAGGAAACAGATTGACAGAGCAAGACGGGTACCCAGAAATCACCTACTACAGGACAGGCCCAACAAGGACAATAACAGAACACCACTGGCCATCACATACAGCCCCCAGCTAAAACCTCTCCAGCGCATTATCCATGATCTACAACCTATCCTGGAAAATGATCCCTCACTCTCACAGACCTTGGGAGGCAGGCCAGTCCTCGCTTACAGACAACCCCCCAACCTGAAGCAAATACTCACCAGCAACTACACACCACACCACAGAAACACCAACCCAGGAACCTATCCCTGTAGCAAACCTCGTTGCCTACTCTGTCCCCATATCTACTCTGGCAACAGCATCAGAGGACCCAACCACATCAGCCACACCATGAAGGGCTCATTCACCTGCACATCCACTAATGTTATATATGCCATCATGTGCCAGCAATGCCCCTCTGCCATGTACATTGGCCAAACCGGACAGTCCCTCCGCAAAAGAATAAATGGACACAAATCGGACATCAGGAATGGTAACATACATAAGCCAGTAAGTGAACACTTCAATCTCCCTGGTCATTCTATTACAGATTTAAAAGTCACTATCATTGAACAAAAAAACTTCAGAAACAGACTTCAAAGAGAAACAGCAGAACTAAAATTCATTTGCAAATTCAACACCATTAATCTGGGCTTGAATAGGGACTGGGAGTGGCTGGCTCATTACAGAAGCAGCTTTTCCTCTCCTGGAATTGACACCTCCTCATCTATTATTGGGAGTGGACTACAGCCACCCTGATTGAATTGGCCCTGTCAACACTGGTTCTCCACTTGCGAAGTAACTCCCTGCTCTCCATGTGTCAGTAGATAATGCCTGCATCTGTAACTTTCACTCTATGCATCCGAAGAAGTGAGGTTTTTACTCACGAAAGCTCATGCCCAAATAAATCTGTTAGTCTTTAAGGTGCCACCAGACTCCTTGTTGTTGTCATAGAATCACAGACATGTTGGGCTGGAAGGGACCTCGAGAGGGCATCTAGTTCAGCCCCCTGCGCCGAGGCAGGACCAAGTAACCTTAGACCATCCCTCACAGGGGTTTGTCCAACCTGTTCTTAAAAACCTCCAGGATTCTGCAACCTCCCTTGGAAATCGCTTCCAGAGCTGAACTCCCCTGAGAGTTAAAGTTTTTCCTAATATCTAACCGAAATCTCCCTTGCTGCAGATTAAGCCCATTACGTCTTGTCCTGCCTTCAGTGACCAATGGTCAAATTACCCTCACTTAAAATTTCAGGCCTTATTACCAGTCTGAATTTGTCTAGCTTCAACTTCCAGCCATTGGAGCATGTTAGACCTTTCTCTGCTAGACTGAAGAGCCCATTACCAAATGTTTGTTCCCCATGTAGATACTTACAGACTGATCAACTCACCCCTTAACCTTCTCTTTCTTAAGCTAACTAGATTGAGCACCTTGAGTAGACCACTAAGAGGCATGTTTTCTAATCCTTTAATTATTCTCTTGGCTCTTTTCTGAACTCTGTAATTTATCAACATTCTGGACACAAAACTGGATGCAGTATTTCACAAGAGGTCGCACCTGTGCCAAATACAGAGGTAAAATAACCTCTCTATTGCTACCCTATATTCCTGTTCATATGGCCAATGCATGGAAGACATTAGTCACTTTGGCTGCAGCACTGCACAGGGAACTCACGTTCAGCTGATTATCTACCACAACCCCCAAATCTTTTTCAGCATCAGTGCTTCTCAGGATGGAGTCCCACACCCTGTAAGGACGACCTAGGAGGGGGCTGGGTGCAAAATGAAGAGAAGGGAGTTTCCATTTAGGAGTTCCACTGGCCTTGCCTTTGCCCTCACTCCGTCACATCACTGGTCTGCTCCCCCAAGGAGATCTTCTGTCTCTGCATCGAGCTGGAAACGTGCCGGCGTGACGTCGGATCCTGAGTTGAGGTGCTGCAGGAGACAGCACACAGCGGGTCAGGCCCATTGGCATGTTGGGGGCAAGGGAAGGGGAGGTGGGAACCCAGGAGATTGCAGGGCAGAAGAGGGCTCAGCTCTTAGTGGGAGCATTGCTCCTCCCTCCCTCTATGATTTCTACATCTCTCCCTCCAGAGCAGACCCCCGCCGCGGAAGCTATCACCACAGCCAGCGGGAAGCTGCCTGGGCCGACATGGGCTCTCCTCACAAACTGCTGCTTTCAATTCAAGTCAGATTGTGTTTCTAGCACTTCTGGCTAGAAAGAGAAGCTCATGAGGCTGCCAGCAAGAGCAAAGGGAGCTGCCACTGTCCCCCTCTATGGAGTTGTGAATTTTGAGGCCTTATCAGATCAACTGAGGGTCAATGCTTTTAGTTTTCGCACCAATCTCCATCCCAGAAAGATCCAGCGGGCATGCTTCTCCCACGCAGCTAGGTGCGTCTTTCCTACTGCAGCCACAGCAGTTTGCCCCCCACTTAAAGAGCAGACACTTTGTCCTTAATCTAAAACAAGTCCTTTTTCCAAAGCAAGAGTCTCCGGCAATGCTCAGCATATCTCCCCTCCGCATGGAGCTGAACACAAAGGCTACCTGTCTCTGCAGACAGAAACGCCTGAGGTTTAAATTATAGTACCCAGAAAGCAAACACGCCACAGGGCATCCAGGGGGGAGGTGTGGGATAATTGAGGGATTTGCTACTGTTTTCAGAGAGCAGGGTAAAAATATTTATAGACTCAGTCAAAAAATGCTGCTGTGTGCATGCAATGCAGTTTATAGAATTTGAGAGCTCTCAATAAAACGTGGCCCAGCAGCAGCAAACGTGGGTTCAGTCTCACCGCTAATCAATATGTCTGAACGACGAACATTCTCACAGATTCAAATTTAGCCCAGCTAAGCAGGAAAAACACAAAAACCAACAGCTCTCCCGCAGATGTGCCAGATCACGGAGAAGACTCCTTGCATGATTCCACTGTGCCCTGGTCAGTAGGATCCTGGGATTCAAATAGCTGCTGGGTCAACTGGGGACCCTGCTGCTGGAACATCAGAGCCCTGCAGAGTTCTCCCACTAGGAACATGGGGGAAACTAGGCAACCCCCAGCCGTTAAGGAGTCAGATGTGGTATAATTTCACCTCCAAAGCATTAATCATTCTCCGCGGCCCTCTGCACGATAGCTAAGTATTATCCCCATTTCACAGACAGGGAAACTAAGGCACAGAGTGGGGAAGAAACTTGACTGGAATCACCCAGCGAGTCAGTGGGAGAGCAGGGATTCTCTCTCCTAAAGGATATTAATGGTCAATAGCTGCGCGAGGCCCCAGTCAGAATCAGGAACTGAACAGCCGTGTACGGAGACCGGGCCTCATGCTCAGGCTGCGGCCCACACCTCACTGGACACAAATGAAGGAGACCTGCTGCAATCGATTCTCTCACAACAGATAAACAGAGAGCAGCGTTTCATTGCTGGGGCCAGGGTAACAAGGCAGACATGGTGCAAACCTGCCCAGGTTCGAGGGCATGGCACACAGCAGGCTTTACAGAGTCCATGGCAAAAGACTGCAGGTGCTGGAAAGTGAAGCCACTAAAATCTATTCCATTAATGCTTCATGCAGCCCCCGCACCAGCCCTGCCTAATCAATGCTGCTAACATCCTCCCCATCTTCTCTGCTGCACACTGCCAGCCACCCTCACCCACAGCCCACCACAAGGCACAGGATCTGAGGGTGACTGGACAGCTCCATCCACGGACACACCCTAGAGCCATTATCTGTGTGCAAATACAACGCGCCTTCAGTACGCACAGTTCCAGCTGAGGATTTCAAAGATGTCCAAGGAAGTCTGAAGCCCAGCCCCAAGGAAAGCCAGTGTTTGCCAGGGGCACTTTAGAAATAAAAGCCACGTCACAAACGAACATGACATGAAATTCCATGCATGCCACCCTCGCCCTTCCTTGGAGTCTGTTCTAGGGACAGGAGACGGGGCAGTGCTCCCAGCCCTCTCTGATGGGCATTAGGCCCTCCAGCCCCTTAAAGCAATCACAGCCCTTTTCTTTTCCTGGTCCATCCCTCTTCCTGTTACTGGAGGGTGGGAACATTGTTATTAAGAGAGCAGAACTGGAGTTCCTTCTCTAAGCGCTCAGGTGACACCTGGCACAGAGATAAGACTGGCTGCTCTGGCAGCATTCCATGTGCTCAGGAGAGTCCATTAGCCAGCAGGAAAAAATGCACCCCGTGCACGGAGAAATGCGTTCGGCCAAATCTGGTCTCACAGGTAATTGCATGAGCTGCCGTATCAGATCGGACCTTGCCGCCATCGCATTTGGCATCTTGCCTCCAGTGGAAAGCAGCCCTGTCCCCGTAATGCAAGGGGCCAATCCTGCAGGGGGATTCCTTCCGTGCTCCCATGGCAAAGAGCGGGTGTCCTTAAGAGATCAGTCATTCCCATCTCTGCAGGTGCCACTACACACAGGAGAACACTTCACAGAGATCCAGGCTCCTCCTAGCTCCAGCTGCTTGTGCGTCCGCCTCAGATCCAGCAGCAGGGAGTTCCGCAGGGCACCCACGCGCCGGCATATGAGCATTGGCTTTATACGTCCTGGCCTGACGCGCTGCCGCGGCTGGGCGGCTTGCACTGGACCCCGCAGCACCCAACCTCTGAGACCGCCACCGGGCCTTGGGGAGGCCCCTCCCCCGCCCCAACCAGCCCCGCTCCGGGCCCGGTCTGGCCGGACACACAACGGGCACCGCCAAGCCTGGGCCAAGCGCACCAGCCCCGACAGGGCGCGCCAGGGCCGGGAGCTCAGTCAGCGCGCAGCCCTGCCAGACGCTCCCCACCCCTCCGCCCGCGCGGCCCGCAACGCACCTGCGCCCCACTCCCGGCGCGCTGCGTCCCAGGGCGGCGGGTCCCTCAGCACCGCCCAGCAGCCAGGGACACCGCCGCCGCCGCCATCTTGGGAAAGGTGCGCTGGGGCGGGGGGGGTCAGTGGTGACGTAACGGTAGGGCGTGGCCTCGACGTTCCACCCCTTAAAGGGCCCCTCCCCGGGTAACCGCCAGGACAGGGCGTGGAGCACGAGGCGGGATGTGCGCGGCGTCATTGCTCCGCCCCGGACCTGTTACCCCAGAGCTCCAAATGCCCTTCCCCTAGTGCCCCCCTCGCGCTCGCCCCAATGCCCTCCCCCCAGAGCCCCCTTCGCCCCAATGCCCTCCCCCTAGAGCCCCCCTCTTCCCAACCCCCCCTCGCCCTAATGCCCCCCCAGTGCCCCCTCGCCCTAATGCCCTCCCC